GGTGGCGCGGGAGGACGCGGCGGCGGGGCGGGCAGGCAGCGCTCAGCGCCCGGCAGGAAGCAGCGGCCCAGCGACGAGGTCAGGGAGCAAAGGGCGACCAATCGGCGCGGAGGGGCGGGGCGCGCGCGGGGCGGGCCACGTCTCCATGGCAGCAGCGCGCCGCCCTCTGCGCGCTCCCGGGAGTGGCAGGTGGCAACTGGGTTGCCCAGGCTCTGCGCCGCCCAGAGGTGGTTGGGTCCCTGCAGACCTAGAACCCAATGCTCATCTCATTTACTATTTGGGTGGTGGGAGTATCCTGGATTCTTTTTTTTTTTTTTTAATAGGACCTTGTTCCATAACCCAGGCTGGCCTGGAACTCACCATCTAGGCCAAGCTGGGGCCTCAGACTCACAGCAGCCTTCCTTCCTCAGACTCCTGAGTCCTGGGATGACAAGCATGCACTTACCCTGTAGGCTGAGCAAGGTAGAAACTAGGAGCAAGGAACAAGTTTGAGACAATGAACCTACCAGCTCTTAGGAGCAAAATGGTGATGGTTTTAAATAAACATGAAAGTGAGGAAGGAGGATGTCAAGTTATCTCTTTTAAATCTTTTCACTGGTTGTTTTGTTGACAGAGCAAAGTGAGCACATTAAGTGTCTCTAAAGAGCAGGCAGAGAGCTCTCAACGGTAGCTCTCCGGGAACTGTAACCTTGGCCATGCCTTTGCGACTCCCTAAGTACCTGTGTCTGAGAAAGGCTTTCCAGTAGAGACTGTGAACCTTTCTGAGAGGTCCACAGACGGCAGGATGAAGGGGCTGCCTGAATGAGAATCTGTCTACTTCCTTAACAAGCCAAAAGCTCAAGCAAGCCTTTGGCTACTAGGATTCAGAGCCACCACCTGAACTCCAGACTATGCAGGATCAAGAAGAAAAAGACACTGTATTCCAGCAGATGCCCTCCCCTGATGTTGAGACCTTAGGGGAGGACTGACTGACCGCACTGTAAGAAGGAAGTCCATCTCCAAGAACTAGAATCTAAGCCCTGTAACAACCAGGGAAGAGATTTATAAAACACTGGGCAGAAGGTAAAAGGCTTGAAAAAGCCCTGACTATTGGGAAAAGTCATGTAAGTGAGAACAAGCTGGGAAAGATGTTGGAAGGGAACATGACACACCCTGCAGAAATTTGAGGAGACAAAGCTGGTGGGGTGGTGGTGGGGCGTGGTGGTTTAGGCCTTTAATCCCAGCACTGGGAAGACTGAGGCAGGCGAATCTCTGTGAGATTGAGGCTAGCCTGGTCTATATAGTGATTTCTAGGCCATCTGGGTCTACAGGGAGACCTTGTCTCAAAAAGACCAATAAATAAATAAAATAAAATTGTACCTCACCTGTGGTAGCACATACCTTTAGTCCCAGCACTTAGGAGGCAGAAGCAGGCATATCTATATGAGATTGAAGCCAGCCTGGTCTGCATAGCAAGTTCCAAGCCTCTAGGCCAGCTGGGGCTACAGGGAGACTCTGTCTCAAAAACACAAAAACAACAACAACAACAACAAAAACCCCCAAACAAACTGCACCTCGGGAAGACAAAGAAACCTGTCTACCTGGGAGCTCTGCCCCAAATGCCTCCTAACAGAAAAGTTAAAAGTCAACTGCAAAAAGGCTACTGCAAAAAGAAAGGAGAAAATTAATCGTATTTCTGGCTGTGGAAAAAGGATCATAATATTTCATCTGATAAGAATTCCCCATTGACAAGTGGTGGTGTTCACCTGTAATCTCAGCACTCAGGAGGCTGATGCAGGAAGATTGCTTTAAATTCAAGGCCAGCCTGGGCTACAAAGTGAAACCCTATAGAAAGAAAGAGGGCTGGGAAGATGGCTCAGAGGTTAAAGCACTTGCCTTTTGAGTGTAAGGACAGGAGTTTGGATCCCCAAAACCCACCTAAAAGCTGGGTAGGCATGGTGACCCACCTGTAATCCCAACTCATAAGAGGTAGAGACAGGTGGTTCCCTAGGTAAGCCAGATAGCTAGACCAGGTGAGACTCAGCCAGCACTGAGTAAGACACCAAGGGAGAAACCTTGTCTCTATGTACAAGGTGGAGAGCAGTGGAGGAGTGCACTGGAGACCAACCTCTGGCCTCCCTACACAAATGCATATACACAGATGTGCACTAAACATGCGTTCACAAGCCAAAAAAAAAAAAAAAAAAAGAGGAAGGAGAATGAGAAGAATGGGAAGAAATGAAAAGGGTTTAAAGAGAAGTCATCAAAAACCAGGAACGAGGAGGAAAGTACACAGAACACGATAGCTCTGCCATAGAAACTCCAAGCAATGAAACAGAATCAATATTGGGATTATAATCTCTACTGGGATATAACTGAGAGGTAAGCATTTACCTAGCATGAGCAAGACCCTGGGCATGATCCCAACACCACCACCCAAAAGTACTTTCCATTTTAGTAGATATTTTTAAACAACTCAATCTGGAAGATAATCCAGGAGTAATGGAACATTTAGTTCTCTATGTCAAAGGTGATTTTCATACATCCTGGGAAAATGATGTGGAATGACCACACCAAGACATATCTTAGTACTACTATTAGACATATCTCACTAAAACTATTAGAGGGATTGGGAAAAATGGCTCAGTAGGTAAAGTGTTTGTACACAAGCATGAGGAGCTGAGTTCAGATCCCCAGAACCCACAGAAAGCTATGCATGGTGTGGCATGTCTGTATCCCACAACTGCTTTTGTGATGAGATGGGAGGTAGAGATAGGAAAATTTCCAGAAGCTCACAGGCCAGCTAGCTTTGGAGCATAAAATGAAGGCAACAAAGAGCCAAGGTCTTGAGCAAGGTGAAAGGTGAGAATTGACAGTGGAGGTTGTCCTCTGACCTCCACGTGCAGGCTGTGGCACACATATCCATATTCACATGCATGAACACACATGCATACAGATACCATACATGCACAAAAACTATTAGAATTCAAAGGCAAGGCAGGTTCCAGACTTCCTAAAAGCAATGTAATACCTGCAACAGCAGAATGCATTCATGGTCCCATGAAGAAAATACACCAAGGACTTTCACATCCAGGCTTCAGGCATGCAGGCTATAGACCAACAAGTGCGAACTAAGTGTGAAAATTCAGAAGGCACCATACCCAAAGGCTTCTCCTCACAAATCTCAGCCAGGAGACTACAGAGGAAACCCACCAAAGGAAGGAGGGACTACACTCTACATATTGAACATAAAATTAAAACCAGAATTAAAGTATGACCCAGCAATTCCACTACTTGGTGTGTATCTAAAAGAATTGAAAAATAAGACAGCAAAGAAATATCTGAACACCTGTGCCCACAGCAGCATTACTCATGATACACAAAGGTAGAATGTCTCCAGTGTCCATCAACAGACAATGGATACTATAGGCTTACAGTGGAATATTATTCATTCTCAAAAAGGAGAGAACATTTGACATATACCACACATGGATGACTGTATGAGGTTGGTAGAGTAGTCAAAATCATAAGGACAGAAAGTAGAATGGAGATTATCAGGGACTGGGAGGCAGGAGAGGGCAGTTACTGTTTAATGGAGTAAAGAGTTTCATTCAGTTTGAGGGGCTGGAGAGATGGCTAAGCAGTTAAGAGCACTGACTGCTCTTGCAGAGGACCCGGGTTTGATTCCCAGCACCCACATGGTGGCTATGAACCGTCCTTAATTCCAGTTCCAGGGGAATCCGAAGCCCTCTCTGACCTCTGTGGCATTGCACAACACGGGTGCACTCACATGCAGGCAATACACTCGTACACATAAAATAAAAATAATAAATAAAATATTTTCTAAAAATTAAAAAAAAAGAAAATTTAAAAAAAAGTTTTAGTTTGAGAAGATGAGGAAGCTCTGGAGACAGACTGTAGCGACAGCTGCAGAGCAATGTGCTCATGACACTGCAGGACCATCACTTAAGAATGACTGAGCAGGGCTGGAGAGATGGCTCAGCAGGGAAGAGCATTGGCTACTCTGGAAAAGGACCTAGGTTCAGCTCCCAGCACCCACATGGTGACTAACAACCGTCCATAACTCCAGTTCTAGGGGATCTGGTGCCCTCTTCTGGTTTCCACAGGCATTGCACGCATGTAGTGCACGCATGTAGGCAAAGCATTCATACATAAAATAAAAACAAATTATTTTTAAGAATGAAGATTGGGGAGCTGGCTCATCAGATAAGAGTGCTTGCTCTACAAACCTGAGGACCAGAGTTCAAATCCTCAGCATCAAACAGCCTGAGAGGAGAGGTTGGGTTCGGACCTCCTCCATTAGGGTAGCTGCTCAGAGCTCAGCAGACCACCAGAGAGTGCGGGGTTCTGGCCTCCCTCTGGCCTCTAACTACCAGAGGGTCTGAGAACCCAGGGGACAGCCTGACAGCCCCCAGATCCTGCCTCCACGTGGTGGGTTGACAATGGCACGGAACTGCCTGAGAGAGCCTGGATCCTGCTTCCACCTGGTGAAGGCAGCCCGAGTGTACCTAACTGGAGCCTGAATTGGGATTCTGTGCGTACCCCTGAATATTAGATCTGAAGTCATCAGTTCCCTCCAAAATAAACCTGAGAGAACATGAACCCTGTACCAACCAGCTTTACATAACCAATAAAGAAAGGATCTAGCCACCTGGATAATACAGAAGCATACTTCAACTTAATTCTGATATCAGAATCATAAACAATGGAGCCTGAATTGGGATTCTGTGCGTACCCCTGAATATTAGATCTGAAGTCATCAGTTCCCTCCAAAATAAACCTGAGAGAACATGAACCCTGTACCAACCAGCTTTACATAACCAATAAAGAAAGGATCTAGCCACCTGGATAATACAGAAGCATACTTCAACTTAATTCTGATATCAGAATCATAAACAAAAAAAGAAATTCACATGCCAAAACCAGGTGG